GAGAGAGAGAGAGAGAGAGAGAGAGAGGATTACTATAGGAGCTGTGCGCTGCTTATGTTCTTTGTATTATTGTACAGCACATTGAGCACTTCTTTGAGGACATGCGCTATGTAAATGCAATCTATTATTTATTATTATTGTTCCTTATGTGGCAGTTGGGACCGGTAACTTTAGTATTTATCTTTGATGCGTTTCTTTTTATTATGTTGTTAGGTGCAGTGAACATGACGTCATTTTGTTCCTCCTTGAGTTTAAGTTTATAGCTGTTCATCCAAAGCTTGGTGTCTTTTATATTGGCTTGTTACGTTAGATATCATGGCGATGTCGTTAATGTTGCCAACAATGGGCCTATGCATTTGCCTGTTGCCTGCATAGAGATTGTAATTCAAATTGTATTTTTAAGAGTGTCAACAAGTGGTTGCGTCTGCAGTTGGAAAATAACTGGCCCAAGTACCGTACCCTGGGGAACAGCAAATTTAAGATGCATACATGTCTTAGACGTTTCATCTTCTGTCTTCTCTATTTATTGTTAACTATCTTTCAGATGGGAAGCAAATCATTTTAATACAGTGCCCGCTGTTTCAAAACTTGTTTCTAGTTATCTTATGAGGATGTTATGATCTATTGTGTCAAAAGCTGCTGACATGTCTAATAAGGTCAGCAGACAAACTTTGTCTCAGAAATGTAATTGAGAGAGTTTCGAAGAGCTGATGAATACTGTAGCAGTTCTGTCGCAAACAGAAATTTCGCTACCCTAGTACTAGAATGACTAAGTTCCATCTGCTCAATACCAAGTTTTGAGAAATTTGAAGTTAATACTTTTAAGCTTCACAACAAGTCCAGCTTTTGCGAATGTATTTTTATAAATAACGAATAGTCTTATGATTTTGATAGAGCTGATAACTAGCCTTTCCGATCTCATGGTCTTGGTAACCCAAAATGGCCCAAAATGTTAGATAGAACTTTGTGAATCTAAGGTAACGATTCGTCACTGAGAAACTTTTAACAATCTAATTGTCATAAAGAGGGAAATCAACATGACAAGATTTTTTTAAAAACTGTCAGTACAGCCTCTCAACTAACGAAACAAAGTTGAAAAGTAAGGGTAAAAGAGAGGAAAGGAGGACAGGAAAGACACAAACCAAAGCACGTGATTCACATGGTCAGTGTATCAAATTTAGAGGGCAGAAATAATTTTCCAATGCATTTATTTTCTCCACGGGCAGACAGCCGTAACATTGATGAAGCGTAGTGTCACGGGCATAAATTGACATTTCACAGTACTGTGGTTGGACACTAATTGCTCACTGACCTATTCTAACCACCAGCCAGGGGCTAGGCGCGGACAAATTCCCACGAACTGTTAACTCTTCGGTGTCGTTTTCACTTCCTCTCAGTTTTGCAATGTTTACTCTCTTCTCTCTTTTTATTTGCTCAGCCTGCCGGGTACCGTCTTTCTTTTTCTTCACTCTGTCTTTCTGTCTGCCTGTCTGTCTCGTTTTCTCTCTCTCTCTCTCTCTCTCTCTCTCTCTCTCT